TTGAAAAAACAACAAGCATGGCAACAAAAAAACGTAATTATCACAGCAACAAAAACGACAACAGCAACAACAGCAACAACAATAACAAAAACAACAACATAAACAAAAAACACTGGATAACATATGATACTACAAAGATAATATATTTCACGCAGACCAGCGCAACATCAACATAATATACAACCAAGACTACACATTTAGTTTTGATCAACTAAAAAGAATGCAATCCATATAATATATCAGTATTTCTCTCTCTCTCTCTCTCTCTCTCTCTCTCTCTCTTTCTCTCTCTCTCTCTGTATGTGTGTGTGGTTATGTGTGTGTGTGGTTATGTGTGTGTGGTTATGTGTGTGTGTGTGGTTATGTGTGTGTTGTGTGTGTGTGTAAGTGTGTGTGTGTGTGTGTGGAACCTAAATATAAAATAATTCTAATATAAGCCGAGACTGCACATGTTTTTAACAATTGTCTATTCCTTTAATCTATAATTTATTCACCAACTCGTTATTCATTCATTCATTCGTTCATTTATTCATTCATTCATTCTTTAATTTATTCATCCGTTCATTCCTTTGTTCGTTAATTTCATTCGTTCATTTGTTCATTCATCCATTCACTCATTCATTCACTCACTCACTCGCAGTCTTCCAATTTTGCATACGATGCTGCTAAAGATTGTGTGTTAATCTCGCATAAAAGGGACAAAATAACGATAATAATAATAATAATAATAATAATAATAATAAAAGCAAAAATAAAAATAAAAATATTAATAAAGATAATAATTTTTTTATTCATACCGGCAACTCTATCGATTTTCCGAACGTATATATTTGTTTTTTTTATTCTATTGTTATTTCTATGTTTCTTATTGTTATTTCTATGTTTCTTATGGCTATTTTTATGTTTCTCATTGTTATTTCTATGTTTCTTATTGTTTTTTCTATGTTTCTTATTGTTATTTCTATGTTTCTTATTGTTATTTCTATGTTTTTTATTGCTATTTTTATGTTTCTTATTGCTATTTCTATGTTTCTTATTGTTACTTCTATGTTTCTTATTGTTATTTCTATTTTTTGGTTGTTATGTTTTTCCTAAATAAACAAACGAATAAACGAACCCACGCACGAACGAACGAACAAATGAACAAACGAACGAACAATCAAATAAATAAATACCACAAAGCAGTTGTTTATAAACAAGCAACAAAAAATTATAAACTAATCTAAAAAAAAAGATAGAATAACTTAATTAATTTGCTTGTTTACATTTATATTCGGCGAAACATCTGCGTCTATGTATGTGTGTGTATATGTGTGTGTGTGTGTGTATAGTGAATGTTTGTTGAATTTAATGCTTTTCTTAGATTGGCAAAGTCATTTTCATTAATTTGACCAGGGTTCCTCATACCTTCCATCATCTTTATTAAATGGACTTCGTTTTGGTTCCGAATGTTGTTGTCATTATCATACTAACCAATCTATTTCATGGTCCTCAACAACAACATCTTCTTTATCATCCTCATCTTCTTCTTCTTCTTTTTTTTCTTCTTCTTCTTCTTCATCTTCTTTTTCATCGTCTTTTTCATCTTTTTCTTCTTTTTCTTTTTTTTCTTTTTCTTCTTCTTTTTTTTCTTCTTCTTCTTTTTCATCGTCTTCTTCATCTTCATCTTCTTCATCTTCTTCTTCATCATCATTTCAAGCACTCTTTCCGTCAGATGTCTTTCATGCAAGTACAAGCAAGCGTACACCGCATCTCTCGTTCTACATACGCTCTCCAAACGCTCTGTATGTATGTGTGTATGTGTGTATGTATGTATGTATGTATGTATGTATGTATGTATGTATGTATGTATGTATGTATGTATGTATGTATGTATGTATGTATGTATGTATGTATGTATGTATGTATGTATGTATGTATGTATGTATGTATGTATGTATGTATGTATGCATGTATGTATGTATGTATGTATGTATGTATGTATGTATGTATGTATGTATGTATGTATGTATGTATGTATGTATGTATGTATGTATGTTAAAACCAAAACATGATGAGTGACACTGAACCGTCAAACATCAAGTAACAAATGGATTAACACTTTGATTTGTCGTTAATTGCACATGTCGGCATTCAGCTGGATATTTTCAAGCACACAGACACGCAGGAACCGCTGCAACAAGCACAAAATGTGGTTAGTTGCGAAAAACAGTTCCCTGCTGTCGCCTGATCTGACGCTGATCATTTTACATATTGCCTTAAGAAATTTAAGGGTGTTGGGGTCCATCGGGCCGAAAACCTCGATACATATTGGCAAGAATTCCATCGAGGGGAGGGCGTTCCCATATTTTTTCATTTTCTCGTCCGCTGCCCTGGCCGCGGCCAAACCGCATTCTTTACTTGTCAGGTTTACGTATCGTTCGGCGAGGGTGCCAGGGACCGTAACATCCCACGCTAAACATCTGCCGGCTCTCCAAGGTATTAGTGTGCATCCGTCCAG